ACCAAGTGCTCTGCCCCAGACCATGGTACCCATGGAGAGCCCAGGTACAAGTTATGCTGCATTTTCAAACCTTCATTGAGCAGAGCCCTGATGGCTGCTTGGGCAAAGGGGTGGCTGGGAGGACCCCATGCAAAGAGGTCTCAGCGCTGTGGAAAGGACCATACTGAAGTCCTGTGGGATGGGGCCAGGAGCTGACAGGCATTCTGCTTTGAATGCACCAGACTGCGCTTGTAAATGTGAAAGTTGGGACAGAAAAACACTCGAGGACCAGGAAATTCAAAGCTGAGGTTTTGCCCGGAAGCTTAACTCTGACCTGGTGACTCCCTGCCCAAATCTGAGCCAGTGTCTTTCCTCCTTCCTGCTGAGAAAGGTGCGGTTGGCTTTTAGTTGTGCTATGAAACATCACAAAGGGTTTTTCCTTAGGCATTTTAGGTAGTGAATGGTGCCAAAGACACCCTTTTATTTGCAGTATGATCACACAAGGTGTTTCTAGGCTCTGCTTTGGACCAAGGGGCCTGAAACCCTCCTGGGGACTGGGATGGCTGAATTTCCTGGTGATACTGCAGAAGTAAGTGATGAGAGAGAACCTGCTTCCTTCAAAGCCATGCCAGGGACATGGAATGTGGGAGAAATCACAGCGCAGCCACTCTGTCCCTTATTCAGTCCCCACTGCTGCCCAGTCCTCTTGTGGAAGCCAGCTTTGAATAGACTCCATTGACTTCAAGCTCAAGAGATGATGTATCATAGAAAGGTTTAGGTTGGAAGGGACCTTAGAAATCATCTAGTTCCAACCTGCCTGTCAATGATCCCTGGTCCTTTTGAGCAGCAGGAGGCTCATATCCATACAGTGGGAATGTCTACATGCATTAGGGTGGGAAACTGCAGGCTGTAGGGGATGCAAAGGAGAATTATTCCAGCATCACCATGCAACCATGGTGGGATGCCTGTTTCTCCATGGAGATGCTCTTGCAGGTCAAAGGACGCTCTGAAGTGTCAATTTACTTACCTTAATCTTAGTGAGCAGACACTGCTTGCAGCCAGCAGAGCTGGAGGCATGAGGAGATGCTGCAGGACCCTTGAGGAGCCTGGGCTGGATCCTGACTGGAGCTGAGCATCACACTACTACCTGCTGCTGGTCTCTGAACATGCACCAAGTCCCCATGTGCTGGGGTCCCGCAGCAATTCCAGCAGCCTGGCCCATGCTGCCAGCCCACGTCAGTGTGCACCTCATGTCACAGGGTTGGATATATAAGGCAGAAGCTCTTCCCTGTGAGGGTGCTGAGGCGCTGGCACAGGGTGCCCAAGCTGCTCTAGTGGAAGGGGTCCCTGCCCGTGGCAGGGGTTAGAACTGGATGAGCTTTCCAACAGCAACCATTCTATGATCCTATGATTCTGTGAAGTATCTGTGGCCATAGCTCGGCCATGTCTACTGCTCCTGACACCCTCCAGGAGGGTATTAGGATGTTTGTAAGGCCTTCCCCTGAAGAATGGTCCTTACAAGCCCTTACAGTGATGGAGGCGGAGGATTAGGATGCTCCCTTCTATGTCTAGCACTTGGTAGGCACACTTTGCCCCAGGGGATGATCCCACCCTGCAACAAGAAGTCTTTTTCCAGAAGCCTGCTCCAGGCTTTTGAGGATGGGCTGCTGAAGGACACAGCTCCTCCATGCTCCCAAGACCTGGAGCACTGGGAGTTGGAAGCTAAGATGGGAACATGGACACAAGATCCCAGCACCAGCACTTTGGGATACAGCAGCAGCACTGGAGACTCCCAGGGGCAGCGGTGGGCTTTTGGCTTTTCGGATGCTCCCAATGTGCAGGCTTGTTCCGTGAGGGAAAGCCATCCACAAATCACATCCTCCTGCTGCTCTGCCCATCATATTTCCCTTTTTAGCATCCTGCAGCGCACGTGAGGCTCAAAACCCCAAGTTCCCTGCATTGTGGTGACTCTGTGGCATGGGATGCAAAGGGTTGATAGCCAAAGGAGGCCCCCCTTCCCCTCCATGCCTTTTCCTAAGTGTAACCTTGCATGAAGCCTTCATGCAGATCCCTTTGCTTCGGTCTCAAAGTCCACAGAGAGAAGAATGTGAATGGAGTTCAGTGAATCAGGCAATGGCAAACGGCTCCGCAGAGCCACCTTGTGCCCATCAAAAGCGCTCAGGAAGAAGCCAAGCGATTTAAAGGCTGACTAAAATATACACAATTTATTTATAGGAGGTTTACAGCTGTACAACCTTGGCTTCCTGGCTGGACCACGCTCTGAACCAGTGCAGCGCGACACCCCAGTGCCTTTGGGGATGAAGACAAGTCACAGCCTGCTTTAACGTGCAGACACCCCAAAGAGATGGATTCCACAGAGTGTAAAGGCAGGCTGCTTGCCACCGTTGAAATGATTAACAAAAGACATGGGAAAGAAATCATGGATATGCCCCACAGCACCTGGGAGGGACTGGGAAGTGCTTCCTGGACCTGCCCTCCTCTCAGACATCTCTTTACTTCATTCAAAGGGAAAAGGCATCAGTGTTAGGAATGGTATTTCAATAACTGCCCTCCCTCATCTGCGCTACAAACAAGGAAAGGAAGAAAGCAACAAAGGTAGTTTTTGTTATTCCATTGGAATGTAAGGGCATGAAGGCTCCTGCTCTAACTGTCCTAAAGTTTGTGGGGAAAAACAAGCATTACTGATATTAAGACATTTTGGTCCTGATATAGTGTGATTATTGTTATACATTAGAAGAAGCTGCTAAAAAGCTGCCTTTCCTCTCTTTATGGCTTGATTCTCTGGAGGAAGGAAGGAGGCTGCTCATGGGTACCAAGGCACCGCTACTCCTCAGCAAGCTTCAGCGCCGTTCCTTAGGGATCATGGTGTGGTTTGGCACATGTCAGGGCACTCCTTGCCAAATGGGTCTCCTCCACTGAAGCTCTCAGTAGCCTGATTTCCTGAGGAAACAAGGCTAATGCAGGCAGGCTGGCTATCCCCCATCTGCTGCTGATGGCGGAAAGCTCCTGTGATGGTGCTGTGATGCTCTCCTTTACCTATTCCCCCTGCCAGAAGAGGTACCTATCCCTGAAGGGTACCTACAAGGATGCTGGAGAGGGACTCTTCATCAGGGACGTAGCGACAGGACAAGGGGTCATGGGTTCAAACTGAAACAGGGGAAGTTCAGGTTGGAGATAAGGAAGAAGCTCTTCCCTGTGAGGGTGCTGAGGCGCTGGCACAGGGTGCCCAGAGAAGCTGTGGCTGCCCCATCCCTGGCAGTGTTCAAGGCCAGGTTGGACACAGGGGCTTGGAGCAAGCTGCTCTAGTGGAAGGGGTCCCTGCCCGTGGCAGGGGTTGGAACTGCGTGAGCTTTAAGGTCCCTTCAACCCAAACCAGTCCGGGATTCTGTAATTCTATGAATTTGCCCCATTTCAAGGATTTGCTTTGAGTTTTGTTTGGGTCAAAGTGTTACTTACTAAACTAGGACCGTTTTAGCCAATCCTGCAAGATGCTGAACTAAACTAAGTCCCAGCACCAGGAGCTGAAGGATGCTCAGTGCAAGCCTGTAATAACTGAGACCTGGAAAGTGCCTCCTTTGGGCCACTGCTTGCCTGGGAAACAAGACCTAAAAAAGCAATTTGGTCAAAACCCCAATTCTTTACTATAGGAGGCAAACTCTGAAGGCGAAGAAAGGGCCTGTACAAGTCAATGAAGCCGTACCAGCTTGCAGCACAAACATGGGCATTTAGCAGGACAAGCAGAAACCCTACTTGCTACGGCAAAAGAGGGCTTTGCTGTTCACTCTTCCTTTTCCTACCAGGATTACAGCATATGCATTCATTTCCACTAGCATGCAGTGAGTCCTTGATAGAAAATGTGAAATCCCTTAATTTGCCCCGTTTTAAAGGCACGTGAAGAAAACAAACCCAACCTAAACACCATGAGAAGCGCCTGCTTTGAAACCTGCTGCAAGGCCAGCCAAGGCTTTGCTGTTGGGCTTATCTGGGATGCTTTATAAGGAGCCGGATTCTGCCACCCAGTGGAATCAAGATCAACTTCATGGCAAACGGGAGCAGAACACGGCCCTGAGGATGCGTTTGGGTTGTGCTTGTGAGACCAGCTCTAGCACTGTGTAACTCATCCTCCAGGCCAGGAGACTGGAAACGAAAGGTGAGAGATGGACACTGGTATGAATGAAACATTCCCAGCGTTTTCAGGCTGCACTGGGAGCAGCGCTCCTTTAGCACAAGCTAAAATCCCACTGTTTTACAGAGGAATTTGGGAAAGCCAGGCACTGAGAAATGATGCAGCGGTGAAGATGGAGCCCACTGAGTGAAGCTCCCCATCCCTTGGACCTGATGCTTTGGCCTTCAGAGGAATTGATCTCCCCTTATCTAAACACTGAATGGCCCCAGCACACGACCCACCCCAGCTATGGGAGTGAGCTCTTGGGATGGGGACTGCATGAAGACATGGAGACAGCAGGCACCATGGCAGTTCGAGAGGCACACACAGGAGCTGAGACCAGAACAATTCCAGTTGTCCCATCATGGTTGTTGGCATCTTTGTATCCTTCAGAGTTGCACGGGGTTGAACAATTGGCAAGACTCAAGAGGAGACAGCTTGTCCCTAAAATGATGGAGCCTTTACTCTTGCTGGCCATGTGGATTTGGGATATGGGACTGCCTTGGTGCATTCTCCTTCCAGCTGCACTAAGCAAACCCATACCCAGAGAACATCCAAAAGGTCCCAATCTCTTTTCCCACTTCTTGTGCACTGCGGTGCCTCCGAAGACAAGCACTAAAATGGCAGTTTCAGGGCAGATGACAACTCTTAAACCAAGCAGATACATCAAAGGTGCATTGAAGCAAGTTGGTGGGACCCATGGTACACGGTGGCACGTGCGTGCAGCCTGTGTAAACAAACAGGGCATTGTGCTCTGGCCATCAGGACACACAGCGATCCCATGGGACACACGGAGGCAATGGAGGCTGCAAGAGAGAGGATGCCAGCAGAAGGATCGTTGTGGTTCCCCAAAAAGGCACCATTTGTCAACGTTGAAAACACAAGATTGGCTCCTTTGAGTGGAATGCATGCATGGTTCATATGCACTTTGCAGATGGTAGGTAGGCTCTGTGTGTGTATATATATGTATGTATGTGTGCATGTTATATACACATATGTGGCACCAGAAGAAGAGTCCTTGAGTACTCAGACGTTGGTGAGGATGTTACTGCTGAGCAGCTTCACAGCGATGGTTCCAGGAAGATCATTTGATCTCTTGTTCCCCTTGTCCTGGAGGTGCAGTGTGTGCACTGATTGCCGGTCACTGGGGTCCCCTGTGAGCACCACTTGGCCCAAGAACTCGTCACTTATTAAGTTGTGGTTCCAGATCTGGGGAAATAAAGCAGAAATGAGGGCAGGTCTTTGAGGGGTGAAGCCAAGCTTCATGCACTGGAGAAGAGAAGGGTTTATTGGGGACCTGCTCTGAGCTGGAGGCATGGAGGTGGTCAAGGTTCGGGGTTCACTCTGTGAGAGGGGTGAAGGATGTGCATTTACCCGATGCACGTGGTGGTGGAAGGTTGAGCTGCATAAACTGATGACGCTCAGCCTTGGGGGACAGACCCGCTGTGGACAGCATGAGAAGAGGCAGGTAGGGGGGTTCAAGTGAAAGAGGATCTCCATCCTTGGCTCACTGTACCTGAACAATGATGGGTTGTCCTGGCTTCTTGCGGTAGAAGAGCCCTTTCACGTCAAACTCTGGAGACACCGTGTTCTTCTTCACGGGAGAGCGAACTTTCTGCCCTTCACACTTTATGATCACGTAAGGGTCAGCTCCTGGGGAGAGAAAAGGGAATTTCTGCTTTGTTATAGCTCCTGTAATTCCTCAGAGCCCTTTTCCAGGGTTGTTACACAGCACTTTTCCTCCATAACCCGACAGAGGAGATGGGTATCTGATAAAGAGCTCATCGCACCCCAGATGATGTCCACGAAGCTCAGCTGCTGGGCTCAAGCTTACTTCTATTAGGCAACACTGGACAACAAGTGGTGATGGACTGCTATGAAATAGCCTCTTCCTTGACCCCCATATTCTACATAAACACTCTTTCATCACTCCAAATCCTCCTGACCTATGGGATAAATCTTTCATGGAAGACATCATCCTGCTCAACGCTCCTTTCAGCATTTGCCCTGCTGAAGGCAGGCAGAAAGCAAGCCATGGAGAAGAGAAACAGGCTCACAGAGGTTGTGAAAGGAAACACCAGGAAGGCAAGAGCCTTCAAGGTGCAAGAACCCACTTGCAGCATGTATACACCCAAGCCAGCCTAACCTTGGTTTTACTTTAAGGTGATGATAGCTACCTCAGTAGGACTGTGCTTTTCACTCCAATGCGTAAATCATGGGACCATCTTACTCCTAGACTTAGTGAAACTCAAATGCTGCAGGAGCTGTCAGCATGGGTCACTTGGGGGTGCTGGTTGATGAGAAAATGAACATAAGCTGGCTTCAGTGTGTACTCACAGTGCAGAAAGCAACCGTATCCTGGGCTGCATCAAAAGGAGCGTGACCAGCAGGTCGAAGGAGGTGATCCTGCCCCTCTGCTCTGCTCTCCTGAGACCTCATCTGGAGCATTGTGTGCAGTTCTGGTGTCCTCAACATAAAAAGGACATGGAACTGTTGCAACAAGTCCAGAGGAGGCCACAAGGATGATCAGGGGCTGGAGCAGCTCCTGTATGGAGACAGGCTGAGAAAGTTGGGGCTGTTGAGCCTGGAGAAGAGAAGCTGCGTGGAGACCTCAGAGCAGCTTCCAGTGTCTGAAGGGGGGCTATAGGGATGCTGGGGAGGGACTCTTCATTAGGGACTGTAGTGACAGGACAAGGGGTAATGGGTTAAAACTTAAACAGAGGAAGTTTAGATTGGATATAAGGAAGAAGTTCTTTCCTGTGAGGGTGGTGAGGCACTGGAATGGGTTGCCCAGGGAAGTTGTGAATGCTCCATCCCTGGCAGTGTTCAAGGCCAGGTTGGACAGAGCCTTGGGTGCCATGGTTTAGTGTGAGGCGTCCCTGCCCATGGCAGGGGGGTTGGAACTGGATGATCTTAAGGTCCCTTTCAAACCAAACTATTCTATGATTTTATGATTCTATGTGATGAGAGATGCCACAATGCTGAACCAAAACTGCCAAGATGTGCTCATTTATGAGCAAAATGAATTCATTTGGGCACTGGGAAGGTTTGGTGAGCAACCAGTGAATAGGGAGCCTTAGGATGGAAATGTATTTAAAGAGGTGAAGATGGCTCTTAAGAGTGTTTGCTGGGGGCAAGAATTTGGAACTGGATGATCTTAAGGTCCTTTCCAACCCAAACTATTCCATGATTCTAATTCAGGGAGAGGATCAAAATGTCACAAAGGATCACTGGTGGTACTGAAATAAATGGGGAAGAGAAAGATTGGGCATTGAGGGGCAACCATGGGACATAGAGTGGGAAATGGATGAGGAAGCGTGAAAGGAATGTTATTGCAATATCCTAGATAGGAAAATACAGTCATAGGGAACAAGCAGGCCACAAAGATGAAGAGTAAAGTTGCCAAGTTCACAGGCTACCAGACCACAGCTGGATGGTACCTGAGCTTCCAGGAAAGGGAAAGAGCCCCTCACTAGTGATCATTTTCCCCTTAAGAAATGAGCACTTGTTTTGGGAATTCCAATAGAGAATGAGCTATTGCTATGGGAAGTTAATTCCCAGCATGAGGTATAATGGAAAGCCAAACCAGGTGGATAAGTTCTTCTCCAAGGGAAATGGGGAAATGAGGAGGAACAAACAACCCCCTTCAGAGCACCAGGGATTTAAGAACCACATCTCTGACTGCCAGACCACCTCCTTGCTTTCTGTTTGCAAGGATCTGGCTCCCTGGTGAGATGCAGCTGCTGGACTTGATAGCTGTTGTTCCAAACTGGCCTTGTCACTTGGGATGTCCCAGTGAATCCTCATATTCCATCAGCCGGAGCCAAATTCCCAACTGGAAATCACTGCTTCCAAACTAGTGTGCAAAGCCTGGGCTGAGAGATGCGAGTCATGCCATTGCGCTGGAAAGCACAATGCAGGTTGCTGTTGGTGGGAGCTGAACAGCTGGAAAACAGCTGGAGAACAGCTGGAAAAAAGCCATTCCCAAGGGCTTCTGGCTGAAAAATATTGTTTTATGGCTCCAGAATCCATCTTTACCTGCAGGAAAGATAAACCTGGTTTCTGTGAACAGTTCAGAGACCTTTGACTACAGACTTCCCTTCATTGCTAAGCTACATTGGGATGTTGTGAGTAACCCCAGGGAAAACAACCTCCCTAGGGTCAAATTCCCTTCCCAAACAGCAGACAGGATAGAAGGGCTCCCTTTGTGGCATGTGTTAAATAAGCAAACAGGGCTAATCCTTGCTCTAAGGAAGGATACTGGTCTTTACTTTCAGGGCTCTATTGATGCACAGCCCTTACAATAATGTTTGGATGAAAAAAAAAGATAACTTTTTTGTTTAGATCTTTTAAATCTTATGTTTTTGAGTTTTACACTTGAAATTTGGCTTGGAAGTGCCTGGTTAAACCTTGCCACATCCAAAATATGTCCTTGACTTAGGAAATGGAGGAGAAAGGCTTGGATCCGGTCTGTTCCCTTGGTGAAAAGGCATCTCTAATCACAATCTCTACACCCTTCATCCCTATTTCAATGATCTTCCAGTCCAAGTCTTCACTATCCCTGGGTTTCTTGGTCCCTAGGATGGACTGAGCATGGGGCTCTTGCCATGAGTTTCTATGTGGGTGCAGAACATGGTGATACATGGTGCTGCTGCTGCTTTTCATGAAACAGAAGTGTTGGATGTCAAAACTGCATCAAAATGAACCTTTAGAGGACCAAGGAGGCAAAATCCAGTGCACTGTGTTAGTGGCAATTCATACAATCATAGAATAGTTTGGGTTGGAAAGGACCTTAAGATTATCCAGGTCCAACCCCCTGCCACGGGCAGGGACACCTCACACTAAACCATGGCACCCTAACTAAACCATGTCACCCAATTCAGGTCATCTCAGAGGGCTCCTAGGAGCCATGCATGGAGTGGGACTTACTGGAAACAGTAAAAAGTTCTCCATCCACAATATCCCCCAAAGAGCTAAATTTGACCTGCCCTCTACTAATAGACATTTATCCAGCCTCTGGTGATGGACACTACCCCAACACGTCAGCCTGTCCCATTGCTCCTCTGTCCTTCCTACTAAAACGCCTTTATATATGATTCCTGACTTTTAAAGCTACTTATACGCAGGAAGAAAGCCTGGATTTCTACAGGACTACTGCTAAGGGCATTGGAGAAGTTTTGGGAGGATCTTCCAAGGATCTTACACAGCAGCTTAAATATAACAGCTTCCAGATCATGTCCACATTGATTCCCCATGGACTTTCTCCTCTGGTGTCTGAATCAGGCTGTTCACTGAAAAACATATCTGAGGATATAACAAATCTCAGCAACCTCTCACCTCATGAAACCACCTCCTCCTCTTCCCACTGGAACAACCACCTCCCAGCTCCCACAGGACTAGACAGGGAAAGACCAGTACCTCCTTGGGAGTCCTGATTCTTGAGCCCGGCTGCAGCAAGGACATGGATCTGGGATACCACTTGCGGGTAACCGCACATCCCACTCCAGCAGGTATGTGGTGGCTCATCCAGTGTCAGCTCTCTGCAAGGAGAGACATGTGCCCTTTGAGAGGTGCCCAGTCTTACCCCACGGGCACACCAGAGTTTGCTCTAGCAGGATGGGAGAACTATGCACTGTCTCTTCAACCGGGGTTTAGGACGCTCTCCCATGTCACGCTTAGGAGCAGAGTGGGAGCTTCTCTTCCTGTCTCTTGAAAGGAAACCAAACACCATCTCCAGGCAAGGCTATGACCAATTCCAACCAGGAAAACCACGTCCCCCAACAGTCATCTCCTCCCCATGGCTGCTCTTGCTCCTTACCTGCAGTCTGAAGGCACATCTGTGAATATCCTGAGAAGGAACTCGCCTACATGACCGGGATCAAAAGTGGTGGGGATGATGACATAGCGACCTTCCTTCAGGTCTGTCCGCAGGAAGACGCTGCGGGAGTTGATGTAAATGGAGCTGGCCACCTTCTGCTGCAGGGTGTGCATCCGGTAGTTCCTGTTCAGCTCCACCTGGGAAGACACCACAGCGGGGTGGTCAGAAGGACAGCACAACGTATGACAATGGATTTGGATCCACCCTGGGACTGACCCCACAGTGCTGGGAGAGGCAGAGTTGAGGCAACCAACAAAATGGTCCCAACTGGGCTGGGTGGAAAACAAGCACGGATGTGGTTCTCCCAACTTGGTTGGCTCAGGAACTTCTTGTCTCTTGTATCTCAGCTTGACACTGGGGGCCCATCAAGGACACATAACTGTAATGGGTTTCAGCATCTGGAGGTAACAGACCATTGCTTTTAGCAAGGAGAACTTGTCCATGCTGTCGCTGTTCACCTCTGAAATCTCCAGAGGGGCACACTGTGCTGAAGCACCCCAGAGGCACCCAGATAAAGCTTAAATGAGCAATACCGATGGTCATGCAGGACAGAGGTACCACTCCACCACTAACAAATGCACTGGGGTATTCAGGCCAAGATGCAGGAACCATGATCTACCTTATGGATGTCAAAACCTATGGCCAAGTTCTCTCCTTTGCCCTCTTTGCGACTGGTCCTTTTTGGCTTCTGCTGGATGGAGATCAGCACTTCATCTTCTGCCTTCTTCACATCAAATACGTACTAGGAACAAAAGAAGGAAGGTAAGGGAGGACTTCTATTAAGACAGGATCACTGGGTATGGGTGGGTGACACAGAGTAGGTTTAACCTCAGCTTCTCCTCACCCACCTCATTGCTTCAGTACCAGCCTATACCCATTCCTCTTGGGAACTGGCATCATCCTGCCAAGACCTTTTAGGCTCATCTTATAAATAGACTGGAAAATCCAGTCTCTCAATTGCTCATCAGAGTCCAAGGAGTCTAGATGTAGTCTCATACCAGAGATTTTCACCCCTTGCAGTCTGCCACAAGTCCTCCTATGAGGCATGGAAGGAGGAATTTATGCTCACAGACACCTAAGATGAAGACTAATACAGAGCTGGAAGCAGGAAACAACTGTGCCACATCCTTGATCACAATTCCTGCAATGGACTAGACCACCCTTCATCCTTCATTGTTAGATGGAGGACTTACAAGAACTTGTCTCATGTTGCTGAGAACCCCAGTTCAGAGCAGTACAGAATGGAAGAGCTTGTTCCAGGAGATGAACTTCAGAGCAGGACCTTTTTGAAGGCCAAGCTAGAAGGAAATGCCCCTACAGACTACACCTGCCCTGGTGAATATTAGTGCCAAGGCTTGGACAAAAGAACTGGAATTTGATCCTTCAGGCATCCAAACTGTTGGAAATAGCTCTGTTTGACTGGCCCCAGCTAACACTGCTACCCTGTGCCACAGCTTGCTGTTTGGTTGTGCCAAGATGCTCTACACCAGGCACTTGGATGCATTCTCCCTCATAAGAGGGACAAGGTTAACAGAGTTGGCCTGGATGCAGGTCATGCTGTGCCAGGGGTCTCAGCCAGAGAATGTTCATGAGCACATTTAATCTACCAGAGGTCTGGTAGCTGTTTTGCCCTTCTAGGTCCCTGTAGGAGATTTAAGCACTTAGAAACACGTGTAGAGGCTCCAGAAGTTCCTCTGCTCCATGACTTACCTGAGGGTTCTGCAAAAAGGTGTCTTTGTGGTTGATACAGCCTCCACAGCGGTTCTTCAAGGGGTCACTGCTTCTGGTCCATGCCCCGTGGAGCACTGCCTCCTCCCAGGTCTTGTGGATGCTCAGGTAGGACGTGTTGATGAGACGGCACTTGATGATGTCCGTGAAGTACTTGCAGAAATCCTCAAAGGTCATCCTAAGTCAGGAAAGGGCAGAGCTGGGTTATGCTGCTCCATCCCCCTCAACAGTACACTGAAGGATCATAGAATCATGGAATCAGTTGGGTTGGAAAAGACCTTTAAGATCATCCAGTCCAACCATTACCCCAGTACTGCCAAGGCCACCACTAACCCATGACACTGAAGGCCTTGTCTACACGGTGTGTGAACACTTGCAGGGATGGTGATTCCACCCCTGCCCTGAGCAGCCTGTTCCAATACTTGATCACCCTATCACAGGCACCCTATCATAGACAGAGACCATGTTTGAGTAGCCTCTGATGCCTGCTGAATAATGGAAGAGATGGAGATACCTTTCTCCATGTATGCAGTAAATACTTGTTCAGTTTAAACGGCAGAGTTACGTGTTTTGGAGTGGGAGAAGCAGAGGAGTGGCCCTTCCTATACACATGGGTACCTGTTATATTGAAACATATCTGGTGAGGATATTAAGTTAATCCATAACAGGTTGCAAGTACCCTGGTGAAATAGCTTGCATCCAGTGTGATACAGAGCAGCCGGCAATCCTAGGGTCATGGCCATTCAAAGCTAACACCCATGGGCTCAGAGAGGAAGCATCACTAAACATCCTAGGGCTTGGAAGGCGGTTTGTTCTTGATAGCTGTATGTATGGAAATGACTCACGTGCTTCCCTGGGAGGACTTTGTAGGTATGGCCCATGGCAACAACCCCAGGAGGGACTCACCAGAACTCTCCATCGTCTTCCACCGTCATCCCCATCTTCTCTCTTTCACTTTTACTCACTTTCTGCCACTCCTCAGAGCTGTGGGAAGAGTTCAGGATCATTACTGTGAGGGCAAGGGCACACACAGGAATTCAAGGGCCTACGTGGCCTCAGCAGACCTGTCGAGGGCACAAGGTCTATATAAACCAGTTCCCTCCCACTGGTTAGCTCATCTTTCAAACGTGGGGGGAGTGCAGCATGGCTTGGAGATTCCTAACCAGTGGATCTGAATCCAGCTTGGCAAGACTTTGTTTGGCCAGTACAATCACAACCCTATCAATGAAGATAACGAACTGAACCCTTGACAAAGGCTCTGGTTACACCAGCCCTTGGTTCTCCATCCCATCCACAGACACCACAGCAGTCAGTGGTGGCAGAGATTGATTCTGTTGGGTGCTATTTTTGCTGGAACAAGACAGGGAGCAGAAAGGTGAGCTATAATCATCCTTCACTAGTGCGAATGTAGAGTACTACATGACTGCAATTTCACCACAACACCCACCAGAGCACTAATGAGAAGGTTTGTCAAGCTCAACCACCCTTCTGTTGACCTCCAAGACCCCAAGGCAAAGAATGAATCTACCCTAGTGAAACAGTAGGTTTAGGACATGGGTTGAAGCAGTATCCCATACGAGGTTATCCTATAGGTGTGGATGTAGTCGAATTGTCTCGTGGGACAGCCTTGCTCCCATCCAGCTCCCATCCATCCGCTTTTCCCCCTGAACAGAGGCGCTGCTGGTCCCCATCCTAACTCACGTGTCACTCCAAGGGCCATTCCACTCCCGCTCGCCCCACGGGTTGCGCATGCGGATCATGTCCAGCTTCTCCGACTTGAAGAAGGACAGGAGGCCGTGGCCCAGGCGCACCTTCCGCACGTCCGTCACCGCGTACGCGTGGCCCTTCACCAGTCCACAGGCCAGGCGGGCCTCCATGTCTGCTGCTGAGGTGGCCTGGGCAGGGAGATACAGACACTGTACCAGGGGGATGTGAACGCATGGGGCTTGGAGCAAGCTGCTCTAGTGGAAGGGGTCCCTGCCCATGGCAGGGGTTGGAACTGGATAAGCTTTAAGGCCCTTTCCAACCCAAACCAGTCTGGGATTCTATAATTTCAGGTGCTAAATCCTTCCTGGTTTCCATCTGCTGCATGAGGCCTCTGAGCTCTCATAGTGTCAACCAATAGATCTCATTCTAGTGGTTATAATGGGAGGTTTGGCACCCAGTGTTTGTGGAGATGTCTACAGGCAGACACCAAAACACCTTCCTCTGGGAGCAAATCCCCTCCTAACATCTGAAGAGTGATGGAATGAATCTAGGTTCTTCAACACATGAATAAGGGTGGGCATCCAGGCTCGACTCCTTTTGCCATCCATAAGAAGTAGGGACCCTTGGCCATAATTTATCTGACCTAATTCAGAAGTCTCCCACAGTATAAGACCACTCAAATCCCATGAGACCCTGACAATACAAGTAACATTGCTTACTTTGATGGAGCAGCTGATGAGGCCTCCCCGGTTGTGCACCTTCAACACGCGCTCAAAGAGGAGGTTTCGCTTGGCTTCATCAGCAATGTAGTCCCCTTCGGTCAGGTCAATAGGTTCAGACACCCCACCAGTGAAGTCCACCAGGGCATCAGCTGTGTTGCCTCCATCCAGGGCCTCATAACAGCCTGACAACCTGAAAGAGAGTGACAGGGATGGCATGACAACACTGCATTGACATTTGAAGGGGTTTGGGACAGTTCTTGGGGCAGGCTGGAGAAGAGAGATCTGTAATAAAACTTCCAGTGGGTGAAGATAGTAAAGTAGGGTAAAAACGTAAGACCCATGCTGCATGCAGCACTCTTGCTGTCATGGGACGAATAGGAACTTGAAATCTCTAGGATAGGTATTACTTAGACCAATGTCGAATTGGAAGATCTTTTGCTACAAAAAAGGCTTTTTCCTCACAATCTTTGTCTGTTTGAGATATGTCCTACTTCCCTTCAGGAAACCTGTTGTTTCCATTGGTGCAAACCAACTGGTGAATGAACAGAGATGAAAACCAGGGCACCCAGGTCCCAGTTTGTCCTGCAGCCACCCAGATACCTACTTGGCATAAGCTTTCTCCACCAAGGCACACCAGAACTCGTTCTTGGAGTTGGAGTGGCAGTAGATGAGCTGGTTGTGGAGTGTGGGCAGGCGGTCATCGATCACCACATCCAGCCACTGACCGAAACGCCAGAACTGGAAGTGGAAGATCCCCACATAGTTCTCGGGTTTCTCAGCATTCCATTCCTGCTCCTTCCAGTCTGGGATGACCTGCAAGAGAGGAGGCACGTGCACCTTGGTGGACTTGACTCTCATTCTGGAACTAACACAGGCAATATAGAATCATAGAATAGTTTGGGTTGGAAAGGACCTTAACATCATCAAGTTGCAACCCCCTGCCATGGGCAGGGACACCTCACACTAGACCATGTCACCCAAGGCTCTGTCCAACCTGGCCTTGAACACTGCCAGGGATGGAGCATTCACAACTTCCTTGGGCAACCCATTCCAGTGCCTCAGCACCCTCACAGGGAAGAACTTCTTCCTTATATCCAATCTAAACTTCCCCTGTTTCAGTTTGACCCCATCACCCCTCGTCCTATCACTACAGTCCCTGATGAAGGGTCCCTCCCCAGCATCCTTGTAGGCCCCAATATCAAAGAGAAGGAAAAGTATGAGTTGGATGGACTTGCTTACATCTTACTGGGGACAGGTTTTGGACCTGGTTCCTCCAATGCAGGCTAGATTAACGTGTACTGGAATAGCTTAGACTTCATCTCACTTTGGAAGATGGGGGTAAAGATCCTTGCTCCTCTTTCTTACAACTCTACCCTGGACATCTTCTGCCATCTACAGCTGCAGACAGGCTATTGGAGCAGAGGGTCCTTGGTCTGACCAGGGATGGTTATTTTGATGACCACATTTTTGTTAACTGTATTGTCAGTAGGGTACCATTAAGTGAAGGCACCTTCTTTGATGCTGTCACTTGATTCTGGTGTGACTTGCAGGGCCCGAGAGTAAGTGCTGTGTTCATCTACCTGTTGGCAATGAACAGAGACCAGACACACTGTGTACATATATCCTGCTAAAGTGGGAAAAGCAACATTCTCATCCCCACAACGTCTCCATTCTTCCCCATCAAGAGCTACCATATTCATCCAAGCAAGGACAGGAAAAAGAGAGCCTGGATGGAAGGAAACCCTAGAGCAGCTGAGGGGCTGAAGGAGTGGGGGTTTGGTGTCACTGCCATCTGCACTGCCAGTGGGACAGGCACGAGTGAGGGGTAACAAAGCCCACAGTCCTTCCTGGCTTCAGGCACCACCAGCTTTGCTTTGAATGGAAAATCCACCCAAAAGATGGGACAGAAATGGGCACAGCCGTGCACAGATGCTCCATATAGAAGGATCAGTATTTTATCTAGAGTCAGGACATAGAAGCACACAGTCAGGAACTGCCCCACCGCAGTTTAGCTCTTGTTGAGGGTGAAGGCAACGTGGCTTCACTTCATGGCCAGGGTGGGCTGTGAGGCCATGTGTTGATAAAGCAGTCGATAGTTGACAAGTCCTGACCAACTCAGCTGCATTAATGTGACCAACTGTCCACACCTTTGCTTTTTACCTGCTCCCAAAGCATCACGACCTGAGCAAGGAACAATCCCAACGTTCCTATAGGGAAAATTATGTTCCAATACACCAAATAACCACTGTCCTGTGGAGACAGCTGTGGGTATTAGGGTGAGATAGGCCAGGACACAGCTACACTGCATGGTAAAAGGCTCTTCAGAAAGCCCTGTGCCACTGTGAGACCCCATTCATTGTGCCTTGGTCCTGGTCTAGCTGCCAGAGCCTTTGGCTTTTATCTTCTGGCTGCTGTCACAAAGCCATGACCCTGCACATATGTTTCTCTCTGGAGAGCTCACTGACTCCTTAACTACCAGCAACAATCCAGCCCGAAGCTTTCAATGCTCCTATGCTGCAATATTAATGATGCCCTCACTCACTGGCACTCCTGAGCTGTCTGGATCAATGGAAGAAGAGCAGACAGAGCCATGGAAAAGAGCTGCTTTTGGAGGGTTTGGTGTTTTCCAGGAGTGTTAACAACCATGTCCCAGACTCCCGATGGGAGAGTGCCAGGCATGGTCAGACAAGCTTCCGTCAGTCCCCATCGATTCCCTCCTGACTGGAGCTCATCCTAATGAATTGTCCTAGAGGACCATTGTGCTAATCAATTTGCTATTAATGTGGGCTTAGAAATGATGATGGCATTGATTAGAGGCAGCAGGGCCAGCTTCCAGCTGGCTGGGTCTGAGGCTTGCCACTACTGTCAGTGGTGGCAGGAGACAGCGGTCCCCATCATCATCCTCTTGAAGGCAGCAGAAGTGGTTGGACCACTAGACCAGGATCCAAGACTGGATGTACTTCCACACCAACCCAAGGGGAATGAGAGGAGCCTGATCCCTAGAGTCCAATCTGTCCTCAGCATCCCAAAGGGCAACGTGTGAGCTCAAACACCAGGTTTCTCCCCCAGAGCACAGCATCCCACCCAGGCCAAGGATCCCTCCTGTTGCTTACCCTCTGGCCGAGGCATCTGTGACTCCCTTGGCTGTATGGGAGAGGTGGCAGTGCTGGATGTGGTGCCTACTGGGACACCACACTTCAAGACATAGAGCACAGCCCCTGCCTGTGACCTGACACTGCGTGTTACCTGGAGGATTAACATGGGGCACATCCACAAACCCCAGCAGTAGCTGGACCCCTCATGGAGATCATCATGCAACTGAGGTCCACAGCTCCCATCCACCCCCAGGAAACCTCCTCAGGCATCTCCATCCCTCCCCAGTGGATGCTGGAGAACATGCCATGGACCACCCATCCCAGGATCCCACTGAGTCCCAGACTTGACTCGGTTGGATGACACTGAGGCAGTGGATATATTGGTCCCCACCATTCTCATTCACCCAACTGTGCTTTTTGCTTAGGGGTTCACAAAATCTAGAGCTGTGGCACCCTTCAGTGGGACAAATTTACAGTGAAAGGGGTCAGAAATAGGTAAGTTGGCAGCCCAGAAACACCTATGATCTTGGGAAAAGGTCCCTGCTTAGAAGGAGGAATTGGTAGATGCTGATTTCTCCAAGCAGGGGCTCTTCTGCTGGGAAGTTGCTAGCTCAGGAAGAGGAGGAAAAGACCCTACTGTGCCAATCTGCTGAACCATGGATAAATCCCTTTGGGAGATGGGGCAGTGGTATATCTGAAAGCTTTTATGGGATGCTGAAACTGTGTAGGGAGAGTTCCAGTGGCTGGTATAAGATCATCTTCCCTGCAGCAGGGGGGTGATCACACTGCCCCGCTCACCTCTCAGCTCTCATGGAAAGGAAGATCCACCTGAGGACCATTTCCCTTCAAACCCCTCCCAAACCACACAAACCTGTTAAATGCTCCATTAAGCCTCTCGCACCAAGAAAAACAGAAGGTAAATGCTCATTTTACTGTTTACAGGAGATGAAAAGGTGCTCAGAAATACCAACAGTGAGTTTGAAATTGGTGGTTGGTGCTTTATTGTGTGCAGGATTAGGATAAGACATGCACAGCCTCAGTCCTTAAGGGGAACCCTGTTCATTAGGCTTTTATTTACTATGGTACATCAATACCCAGGGAGGTATCTGCAGCAAGAACTCTACCCCAGCAACCAGCAGCATAGCAATGGCATAGCGAGAGACCTGTAATGCAAAAACCCCTTGGGATGTTGGAAGTGGCTCCTGTTATTGGGTCTAATGTGGTTTGTAGTCTGGGATATACAAGCAAGGTCTCCTATGGGAAAGTCTGTCAGGATCCTAGAAGTGGGTTTGGCCCATAGTGGGTCCATGCTATGGCCAAGCAGAATCCCAGACTGGTTTGGGTTGGAAGGGACCTTAAAGCTCACCCAGCTCCAACTGCTGCCATGGGAAGGGACCCCTTCCACTAGAGCAGCTTGCTCCAAGCCCCTGTGTCCAACCTGGCTTTGAGCACCGCCAGGGATGGCATACATCCAGTTTTATCTCTCCTCACTGAGTCCAGCATTGCTTGGGGTCTAAATGAAGACATCAGTTTCTCCAGCAATGTCCATGGCTGTGTGACTCAGTGGTTGCTGAGCTTTGGTTGTGGGTAAGGCTCAAAGCTCCTACCATCTCAGCTAGTAACTGATCTTCCTCCTTTCCTTCTCCTTTCTGCCTGGATTAGCTTGTGCTCATCATTTTACACCTTATTGCTGTGTTGAGGAGGGCATGGAGCCTGCATCTCTGGAGGCTTTGAAGAGGTTGGACTCTGTTGGGGATGGTCCACTTAAGTCAGGCCATGGGTACAAAATCCCACCACTGCCCTCTCTCTACACACCTCAGGATAATGTCAGGCCATACCTTGAGGAGCACTCACCCACACTGGAGTGCAATCCTAGCAAAGAACCAATTGTAGGAATACTTGACTCTTTCAAAGGACATTTCTATCTGTGCATCTCAAGAAGCTTCACCAAGCTCAGCAGCTGTAGTGGGTAGGAGACAGCAGCAGCAGGCTCCTGCTCTGTGGTTTGCAATGTGCCCTGCAGCATCCTGGCTCCCTAAATGCTTCAGAATAAACCTATTCATGGGTGCTTTAAGGCCACAGCAATGCACAGATTGCTTTTGCTGCAGGGCAGTCACTGCTGGCTCAGACCTACAGCCTGCTCCGAGCTGCTGCACACACAGGAACGCCTGCTCCAACCCATCTGAGGACCAACAGTGTCCAGGCAGCCCGAGGTGAGCAAGGTGCTGCAGTACATCTCCCCACAATGACCCCCAGCCAGAAATGGTGGTGGCTGTCAGAGAAAGGGTGCTCCAGCCCCCCTGCACCGGTTTCTCCAGTGGGTTTGGCATCTGCAGAGCACAGCGTGTCCAAATGTACTGCAGCTTCACGGCAAGCCGGTCCTCCACGGGACTGGTCTTCAGAGACACCAAGCAGCCTCAGTCGCAGCATTCAGCATCCTTGCAAGGAGAAGCAGTGCATCTCACACAAGCCTTTCCTTTGTAATAGGTAGGATGGAAACTGGAAGCCAGGGCTGTCTCCAGGCTGCCTCTCCTGTTCCTAGGATGGCAATTCCATGTTTTTCCATCAGGTTTTTGCTGTGCAGTCGCCACAGTTGTAGGGCTTAAAGCAGCCTCGTATTTCCAAGCTAGCAAGACCCTGCACCAGTCAGACCTGAAGAATCCATGCTGAATTTGTACACACTAGGCAAATACAGCAGCAAGCTCATGGCCCCTTCCTCCCCATCATCCAAAGGACAGCACGTAGGGGAATGTTTCACAGGGCTGAGGGGCTCCAGAAGTGCTGTCCTTCGCTTTTTAGTGATGCCATCCCTCATAGAGAACCACATAAAAACTGAACCAGAAACCAAACTAAAAGGAATACAAAGACAAAAGCACAGCTGGAGGAGGAAGGGCAGAGCAGGAGAGGATCAGGCTTTAAAAACAATGGAGCCCTTCAGCTGAGCTGGTTCGAGGCCGTCGGTGAAAGCGAGGAGGAAATACATCACCTTACGGATGCGGGCTAACTCCGCTATCCGCTCCCCAAATTCCTGGGCATCTGCCTCATTGCATTCCACATCCTCAGCCCCTGGCTTCTTCCAGAAGATACCCACCGGCTCTAGCAGCTGCCTGTTCATAAGGTGGGTGAGATCAGGAGTCCAGTGCTGGGAAGTGCCGGTCACTGTGACCTTCCCAGGTCTTTCCAGCCGGATATCCCAGCGGAGGAAGCGCAGGTTGTGCTGCCGGATGAAATCCACTCTGTAGACGTGCTCGTTGGGATGCAGCAGCTTCTCACCATCCTGGGGCCTCCCATTCTTCTGCTGCAGGCTCTGGAATCGCAGCCTCATGCACCGGGTGAGCTGGTCATCACGGATGAAGGGCAGCTCGAGCATCCCTGCCTGCACTGCCATCACCTCGGCTGCTCCGCTGCTATGTTTGGCTCTCCGATAGGACACACAGAGGAAAACAGCTGCCAAGCCACCTCTTCATGGCCCACTGGTGCTAAGCAACCCGGGCCAGTGACGCAGAACACCCTCCAGGGCTTCCTCTGGGTGTCTCTTTGCAGATGAGGAGCTGATGGTGCTACTGTGCATGATAATCTATAGGGAAGGGATGTCTGATGTCAGCCTCCCTGGCAACCTGCCTGACAACCACAGCTCGTTATCCCAAAATGAAGGCATGCAGCCAGGGATGATGATCTTCAAGGTCTTTTCCAACCTGGTTGATTCGGTGTGACCCAACAGGTCTGGGCAGCAGGGTTTTCTCTGTAAGAAGGATAATTCAGGTTGGAAGGAGACTCTGGAAGGGTCTGGCCCAACCTGCAGCTCAAAGCAGGACTTACTTCAAGGTTAAGTCAGGTTGCTTAGGGCTTTGTGCACTCTGTCTTTGAGTATCTCCATGGATGGAGATCCTACAGACTCTCTGGGCCCTTGTTTCACTGTCTGACCATGCCCAGTGCTGAAGATAAGATACAGCTTGTGGTATTATCTTCTGTCAGGTGAATGTGCATCCCCAGCAAGAGTCTGGCTCCATCTTATCCCATACCCTCCCATTAGGTATTTGCAGACTGGTTGGATGGGGCACTGAGCAAGCTGCTCTAGTGGAAGGTGTCCCTGCCTGTGGCACGGGGTTGGAACTGGATGAACTTTAAGGTCCCTTCAACCCAAACCATTCTATGATCATTTCTGGTCCCTCAGACATTCAGCAAGGACCAGGCTCTAATCCCAGCAGATGTGGTGTCTCCCTGGACCAAAGGGTTAATCTGCGCACTTGGCATCTTCCATTTCGGTTTAAAAGTTGCTGCTGCAGTTCACAGCCACGTTTTCTCCTTCCAATTCATCCTAAGCCCTCGAAGCACCACGCAAAGTCTTAGCAAAGGGCCTGTCTAATGCACAGGTCTCCAACACCACAGCAAACTGAACATCCCTGGGAGGGAAGGCCTGGGGAGAACTGCAGCTCTGGCCAGGAAACAAGGCTTTCAGTTAGAAAGAGGAGGCAGGCAAAGAAGAGCCTCTGAGGGTTAAGGGATGGAAACTGAGAAGGCACAAACACCCACAGCCAAAGTGCCAAGGGAGGAAAAGCAATGCTGGGGGCAAACTGAAATAATGAGGTGTCCCAAGGGACCCGGCTTCTGTTTGCTTGGCGTTTCCCAAGGCAGGGCTGGAAGTGAATGGTGAGGAGGGAAGAAAATGTGCCTGCTCCCTCTTGGGAGATGTCAATGCAGAGGAAGGAGCTAAACAATCCCTGGTGCCACTACAGTCACCATTTTATCCAGAAACCAACAACAGCTATCCTGTTCCCATATGAAGAAAAACCTTGAGTTAAACAGACAATGGGGATGCTGCAACAAACACAAACTCATGAACTTAACGTTCATCATCCCCAAACCACACACAACAGAGACTGCAGGTACCGCAGCACGCAGAGCAGATGCAAAGGTGTAGGGTGGAGGGGCCCCTTTTAGGTCCATTGCCACCACACCAGGAGGCTGTGTGTGAAGCAGTGATGCTGTCTGCACACACTGATGGGCTTTGGGGGCTTTTTGGACTAAAATCTATGTAAAGGTGATTGCAACTTGCTGGGCTCTTGTCCTACAAGCAGGCATGCCCATACCACGGTCTGAGGCCCTCCTGCTTTTGCTTTCATAGGACTGACTTCTATAGCAGTGGACACAGTGTATTCAGGCACAGACAGTCCAAGGACATGGCACTGAGCACCTTCTTCCCTGTACCTCTGTGGTTGCTCCCTGGATCTGCAGCCCCTTGCTCTAGTGCAGCTCTTTGGTGGCTTTCTGGCCCCTAACCCAATCCCTTTGGGCACCACACTGAAGGATCCCTGCTACAAGGTGCAATCCAACCATGGGGCATGCCAGGGATGGATGCTTTAGGGAAGCAGTGCTTTGGGAAAGAGGCTAACGTCCTCAAATCACTCTACCTGCTTCAGTGCAAGGTATCTCATTGCCAAGGTGGGCACACACTGAGCAGCCAAAGAGAGGTAACACCATGGGAATTAAGGAAACAGGGCCAAATGCTGCAGCGGAGCATCCCAAGTTCTGCTCTTCTTGTCTTTTAGGCGATTTTGGAGTGGCGAGGATCAGATTTGGGATCTGGAGGAGAAGATGGGACTTGATCTACCTGGTTAAAGAGAAACCGCCCAAGGGTTTGTCTTGAGTGTGAGGTGACTGCAGTGATGACGACAAATTGCCCTTGAAGGACAGTCCTTTAAGGGAGGTTTGTGCACATGAACCGTGCTGGGGACCTGAGGCACCCCTGAGGCCAAACACAACGCAAAGCCAAGGTGTTAAAGACAGGCATTCCCCTGCCATGGGGAATCACTTACCTTCTGCCACAGAGACTCCCGGGATGCCAGGGAGGAGCAGGCAGCCACGAACCAGCAGTTCCCAACCTGCCCTTGGTGTAAGTCATGGGAGCTGATCCCGTCCACAAAGAGGTGTGGATCATTGCAGATTTCCTGCGGGGCAGAACAGAAACAGACACACTGAGTAAAGGACGAGAGGGAAACCAGGATCCAGGCTTCTTGGCAAAGGAAAATCTATCCCTCTCTTCCTCAGGCTCCATTCAAACCTGCAGCTTTCTGCTGGCCTCTCTCATCATGCTCGGTGGCAGGGGGACCTTGTCCTGCCTTCTGCTCTCACCAGGACATGGGTAGCATCATTGCTGGAGTGACACCAAACCTATTCCCTGTTCCGTTCCAGCATCAGCACAGCTTTGCTGTAACTATCCCTGGTGAAATGGTGCATTTTCAAACCAGCCCTTCTTCTAAATCCACTCTGTTATTCCCTATAAGCCCCTCAGCTCTCTCTTTCCAGTGAGTGCTTTACAAGCTTCTCCCTCTCCTATTTTACTCTGGAGAGCATCACTCAAACCCACCATCTCCCATATTGGAACTTGTGGATCCATCCGAAACTAAAACCATGCAGAAGGGCAGAGCCAGGCATTCAGATGAGGAATCACAGTGCCTAAATCAGACCACGCACCCAGGAAAGCTCAACACACATTGAGGGCTCAGCCTTGGTTGCAAGAAGACAAGTATCCTCACCCCGGACCTTCCAGGTCTTAGCACAGCAGATGGGGAGAATTTGGTGAGCTAAAAGCTTTGTAGCTGGGCCAGGATGGTTAAATGCTCACTGTGACCCCCAAAGCAGGATGGTGGATAGCGCATGGGCACCACGAATGGAGAAGTTTGGGGAGGAGGTAGCTAAGAGCTGGGTTCATCCCTCCAACCATTAAGGCACCAACCACATCCCTGTTACTCCACTCCGCTCCTGCCAGGCTGCCCTCCCTTCCCACTCCCACTTAGAGCCTGGCCAAGAAAGCACTAAGATAACAGAGGGTATTGAGCAAGCTTCAGGTGAAACACTGCTTCTTTTAAGCTTTTCTTCTTATCAGCCCATGTTGGAAGGTCCTGTATGTCTGGAGGCTGGGAGCAGATGGGCCCAAGAGCTGCAGGAATTGTTTCCCCTTTGTTATTACACTTCATTGGATGGGGGGGAAAGGAAAAGCAGATTTCCCTTCTGCTCCCAGGTTTTCAGGCTGATTGCACCCAGAATAACACGTTCCCCCCAAACTGTGCACATGGGGATTTGTATTGCCACTGCCCATCACGGGGGGGGATCAGGAACTGCTGCCTCATAAGCACCTCCTGCTATTCCCACCTAATCCAGGCAGCACCATACACCTGAAAAATAACCAGAGCTCCATCCGGATGCAAACAGAGCAGGGATGAAACCCAAGGGAGAGGAGTAATCCCCTCCCAGGTGCAGGAGGTCGGGATAAGCACTAGAGGGAGGTAAACTGTCAGCCAGCAAAGGCGAAAGCTGCCTGCGCTTCCCAGCATCCGAGTGCTGACTGGGATGGGAGAGCAGCAGTGGGGTTTAGCTCCTGCTTCACACCACCGAGGAAGCTCCCAGCAGCAGGGGATGCATCCCTCCTGTGTGTTGGGGATGGGGATGTCCGCAAGATCAGTGCCCAGTGATCCTGTTCTGGGTGGCAGAGGCACTGGGTTTGCCCCATCTGAGGACCACGGCTGCCCTTTCTACCTGTAGGTGAATCTGCAGTGTAGAAAAAGGATGTTGCTTGGTATTAGATCAACAGGGGAGAACATGAAAGCATGAAGAACACATCCTGCTTGGCAGAAAGCATAGGGTAAAGCACGTCGGATGTTCAGGGCCCTTCTCCCAGAGCAGAGCAGCAGTTAGCTGTGATTTCCCCATCACCAGGAAAGACTTTGCAAACTAAAACCCTCTGATTGCTCATTTACTAGAGGGAAGCCCTTTGTAATCATCAAAAGAGCAGCCTGCATTGACAGACAAGGGGTAGAACCATTAGAACCTACTCTTCCACCCATGGTAGCAATCAAGGTGCTATGGCTGGAAACACTCATCAGGGGCAGGCTCCCTCTGCAAATCACAGCCCTCATTTCCCTCAGCTCCTCTTCTCACTACCCCAGATGGGACCCTAAGGGCATATTGCTCTTGAAAGATTCACTCAGGCAGCTCTTCAGATGCTGCAGTAGGTGTTTCCCATTCAGGTACACACTTGGATGTGGCATTTTAAAGTGCTTTTGGTCCAGTGCAGCCCTTACAGAGCAAGGGACCTTTAGTAAGGCTGCAGTACCCACAGGACTGCATGCACTACATTGGGCCTTGATTCAGCACCTTCAGGGTGCGAAGCACACTCAAAAGCCGTGGAGCACCATGTCTACCCTGTACAGGGGTGGGTGATGAACTAGGGACCAGTGGGAAGTAGGTAAAGAAGAGCCAAGAAAAGCTGGAGAGGGGCTTTGGACAAGGGCCTGTAGGGACAGGCCAAGGGGAATGGCTTGAACCTGCCCGAGGGGAGACTGAGCTGAGCTCTTAGGCAGAAGCTCTTCCCTGGGAGGGTGCTGAGGCACTGGCACAGGGTGCCCAGAGAAGCTGTGGCTGCCCCATCCCTGGCAGTGTTCAAGGCCAGGTTGGACACAGGGGCTTGGAGCGAGCTGCTCTAGTGGAAGGGGTCCCTGCCCGTGGCAGGGGTTGGGGCTGGATGAGCTTTAAGGTCCCTTCCAACACAAACCAGTCTGGGATTCTAATAAAAGCACTGAACTAAGTTTTCCTTTTCCTATGGACAGAGATGTCTCATAAAGATAAAGATCTTGTTCTGCAGTTAGACTGAATTACAATGGCTGGGGTTTGTATGTGCAAGGGAGGGGTGAAGCAGAGATGCTCTGATCACAGAAGGTCACCACCTTGGCTCCCTCCCCTCCCTCCTGTGCAGCGGACAGAAACCAGGTGAGCAATGAAGTTTACCCATGCAGGTGCTTCTCCAGCAAGCAAACACCACGTCACCCTCCCAGCACCAGGACCCCGAGAGGAAAGGGCAGCATGAACACAAACACACACCCCAAAAGGGGGCCTTTTGGGTTCAGGTATCAGCCAGAACAGAACCAGCTCAAACTGCCCCTGACACCCGAGGCTTCAGCAGGCAGTGAGTCCATAGAATCCCAGAGTGGTTTGGGTTGAAAGGACCTTAAAGCTCATCCAGTTCCAATCCTCTGAACAGCAAAGAACAGCAGGGTAAAGCCAAAAGCCATTGCACCACCTTGGCCATGGGAGCCAGCCATGCCTCTTTACCCTCAAGCAGAACCTGTCTTGGAGGACCCTAAGCACCATCAGAGATGATTTTCCCTCCCTGAAAATCGCTGCTGAAATGGCTGCTGAGCTCCAGGCAGCAAAATACAGCTTAGAGGAAGCCTGTGTGGATGGTCCTATCAAAAGATACAGCCTGATAACACAGGGAGGGCCAACCTAGTGATTCCAAGCCCTGGTGATTCATATATTCCTTCCCACATCCCTCCTCCTGCAGGGGATGTGGGACAGAGGTGGAAATCAGAGCCAGGGCTGGGAGAGGACTGTGAGGTCCCTGTCGATGAGAGGCTGATGCAGAGCTACCAGGTCTGGCTCATGGGAGCCCAGAACAGGCCAGTTTGGCTTTGGGTTATTGAAGTCCATTAAAGGGAAGAAAAAGACTCAATCAGTGCAATTATCTTGCACTTGGTGTGCTTTTGCTTCCCACCAAATAGACTGTGCGTTTCTCCCCTTTGCTACTCTCTCCCCCAGCACACACAAGTGCATTTAAACCTGAAAACATCACCCTCATCTTCTCCTGATAGTCCAAGTCCACCTGGGGTAGTAATGAGCAAATCGCCCTTTAATTGCCTTTATAAGCGGTGACTTGCTTATCATAAACGCTTCTCAGTGCAGAACTGCGCTTCAGAGTCACTGGGGATCTGGATCGTGTCAAGCCAGCTGCAGGGAGGGAAAGAGCTAAGAGGGGGAAATAACCATGTGAGAGACAACATCTGCTGCATGCCAGGGCCGTTTTCTGCTAACAAGACTTTGCAAGGAGCAGACGAGTGTAATTGCACCGCAGAGCCCGGCTGATTCAGGAGCAGTGATTTCACTCAGCCTTGCAGCATCGGCAATGCAATCTATTGGTGTGGCTGTGCTTCCCCCCAGCCTGGGCAACGGGCAACTGGAAGGATGCTGGGTTTTAAATGTCATTCACACAACCCAGAGAGCAGGTGGTATCCAAACACGGTGAGCAACGGTGACGGTGCTGACACAAAGGTCTTCTTTGGCTGCTGGGAAGTGATTTTGCACCAGGGTGATAGGGAAGGGAAATAGGGTGAGGTTAGAAAAGCAGGGGTCTGTGTTTAAAGGGGGGTTATTATAGAACCATAGAATCATGGAATGGTTGGAAGGGACCTTAAAGCTCATCCAGCTCCAACCCCTGCCGTGGCCAGGGACCCCTTCCACTAGAGCAACTTGCTCCAAGCCCCTGTGTCCAACCTGGCCTTGAACACTGCCAGGGATGGGGCAGCCACAGCTTCTCTGGGCACCCTGTGCCAGCGCCTCAGCACCCTCACAGGGAAGAGCTTCTGCCTAAGAGCTCAGCTCAGTCTCCCCTCTTTCAGTTTAAAACCATTCCCCTTTGTCCTATTGCGACAGCCCCTACTAAAAATTACACACATGGAAGGGTAGGTTTGGTTGGTAATACTTGCACCCTGGACAACTGAGATGGTTTCTATTGCCTCAGCCAGACACCCTTCCTGCTAGTGCACCCATTATATCTCAATGTACACACATTCGTATCTGTTATCAGCTCCCACACCATGCACAGGGCGTTGGGCACTCCACCCACAGCAAACAGGAGTCGCTTGTAAAAGAAGGCATCACACAAATACCCTCCCCACCAACGCCATGACTCTGCTTGTGTAGCTCAGCACCACGCCGTGCCGTTTGTTTTGGCACCAGGAAGAGCGGGGGACGGTGGCAAACAAGATCTAAAGGTCAATCTGCAGGCTTAGCAGCCTTGACAAGTCCCTCTGAGGTTTTACCTTCTGCATAGCCGAGGTACAGAGGCAGCAAAGAGGTCTCTGTTAAAGCAATGAGATGGGAACAGACACAACTT